GGGGGTATAGTGGAGAGAAACAGTGATGAAAGGAGGGAGACTTGGTTTTGGGTGGTGAACACACAATACAGTGTACCGATGATGGGATGTATAATATTGTTAACCAGTGTCACCCCCAATAAAAGGAAAAAATACTGCCACCAAGCAAGGGTTGTTCATTTAACTGTATTTACAATAAGAGCAGAGTGTTTATGTAAAGCAAGCACCTAATAAATACCAGTGAATTTTGCTGTTTCTTTTAATATTTTCTTTAAAAAGCCCTGCCTGGGTAGCCCAATTAGTTGGAGCGTCATTCCAATATACCCAGGTTGCAGGTTCAATCCCCAGTCAGAGCACATACAAGAAGTAGCCAATGAATAAGTGGAACAACAGATCTCTCTCCCTCTCTCTTTTGCTCCCTCTCTTCCTCTCTCTTTCAAATCAATACATTAAAAAAAAGAAGAGAAAGAAAGAAAAAGAGTAAGGAAAAGAGCCCAGCCAGTATGGCTCAGTGGTTGAGCATCAACCTATGAACCAGGAGATCACAGTTGATTTCCCAGTCAGGGCACATGCCCAGGTTGCAGGCTTGAGCTCCACTGTGGGGTGTGCAGGAGGCAGCTGATCAATGATTCTCTCTCATCATTGATGTTTCTATCTCTCTCTCCCTCTCCCTTCCTCTCTGAAATCAGTAAAAAATATATATATTTTTTAAAGAGTAAGAAAAAGGGAGGCAAGTTATATTTTAAAGAAGAAGCCACAACCTAGCCAGTTGGCTCAGTGGATAAAGTGTCAGTCCACAAACTGAAGAGTCCCGAGTTCGATTCTGGCCAAGGGCATGGACCTTGGTTGCAGGTTTGATCCCTGGTCCTGGTCGGGGCTGGTGCGGGAGGCAACCAATTGATGTGTATCTCTCACATCAATGTTTCTCTCTCTGTGTGTCTCTCCTCCTCCCTTCCACTCATATGAGGATTAACGAGAAGGGGGGGGGGCACATGGAGATTCATAGATGGGCAGAGATACGGAACATGCTGGTCCCACATCCATGTGTGGCAGATAACAATCAGGAGGGCTATCTCAGCTGAAGAGGTTCCCCCTGAGGAGTGAGGGTGCTCCAACCCCACACCAGGGCCCTCCAGCTCAGGAGTCTAGTGCCGGGAAGAGAAGGCCCCATAACTTCTGGCTGTGAAGACCAGTGGGGATTATGACTGAGTGACATGGAGGTTGCTGGAGTCCCAGGTGTTCCTCTTAAAGGGCCACACACATGGACTTACTCAGACACTCCCTCTGCACTCCAGCGCTGGGCAGTAGCTTAAAAGGCAGCAGGGACACACAGGGAGGAACCGAACTGTCTGCCATCAGTCAGAGAGCTGGGGGGACAGCTTTCTGCCAGACGAAAGTGCTGTCTGAGGCCATTATTCCTTCAATCAGCTCTCCCCCACAGAGCCAGAGGCAGGCATCATATCTGAAACTCCTTCAACCTGGCTAACACTATTTTCCCTACTCTGGTGATTCCCTGAGACCCCCACCCCACCCAACTTGTGGGCCCACCCAACCCATTTCCAGGGTTTTTTTTCCATAAGAAAGGCCTGTCTTGGCTCACATTTCAGACTTTCCTAAAACTTTACAAACAGGCAGCATCTGGTCTCAGCATGCTTCATACCTCTCGCTAACTGGTTCCAGGCCCAGCACTAGCATCAGCCATCTGCAGATTGCCTTGTATCTCATGCTGGGTGGCCCTACACAGGGCACAGGCAGTGACTGACTTTGGCCTGAACCTCCCGGGAGGCCCCAGAGCCAGCCTAACCAGTGGACAGCTTCAGAACATATTGAAGCATCACCCAACCACCTCCACAGTGACACACTCAAGGCTTAGACTCAGCATGACCAGAGCTCTGTTAAAGTTAGTCCTGTGCTGTACGGTGGGCTCCCGCACAGCTGATCCTCCACGGTGGTTGGTGGTCGCAGCCAGCCCTTGCAACCAATCAGCCTGGGGATAAATCCCTCCCACTGACATGCCAACAGCAATTAAGGCTCAACTACAACAGGAGGGTGTACACAGCCTACACAGTGGATGGGGCACAACTGGAGTGCCCAGATCAGGTAATCAGGGAGGCTGTGCCACTGGACCCCAGAGGACACCTACTACATTAGGCCACTCTACCAAGTCCAGGAGACATAGAAACAAACACAGGGAGACAAAGAAACATGGCCCAAATGAAAGAACAGAACAAAACTCCAGAAAAAGAACTAAAACAAAATGGAGAAAAGCAATCTACTAAAGGAAGAGTTCAAAACACTGGTTATAAGGATGCTCAATGAACTTAGGGGAAGAGTAGATAAACTTAATGAGAACTTCAATAGCATAAAAAAGGACATGGAAACCATAAAAAAGAACCAGTCAGAAATGAAGGCTACACTAACTGAAATGAAGAATAATTTACAAGGAATCAACAATAAAGTAGATGAAGCTGAGAATTAAATCAGCAATTTGAAATCTAAGGAAGTAAAAAACACCCAGTCAGATCATTAGAGCGAAAAGAAAAAATAATCCCCCAAAATGAGGATAGTGTAAGGACCCCCTGGAACAACTTCAAGCAAATCAACATTCGCATCATGGGGGTACCAGAAGGAGAAGAGAGAGCAAGAAATTGAAAACCTATTTGGAAAAATGACAGAAAACTTCCCTAACCTGGTGAAGGAAATAGGCATACAAGTGCAAGAAACACAGAGTCCCAAACAAGATGAACCCAAAGAGGTCCACACCAAGACATCATCATTAAAATGCAAAAAGTGAAGCCCTGGCCAGTGTGACTCAGTTGGTTGGAGCATTATCCCATACACCAAAAGGTGACAGGTTTGATTCCTGTCCAGGGCATATACCTAGTTGTGGGTTCAATACCCAGTGGAGGTGCATGTGGCAGGCAACTGATTGATGGTTCTCTCTCACATCAATGTTTCTCTTATCTTCTCTCTAGAAAATCAATAATTTAAAAAAGAATGCAAAATGTTAAAGACAAAAAGACTCTTAAAAGCAGCAAGAGAAAAGCTGTTAGTTACCTACAAAGGAGCTACCATAAGACTGTCAGCTAATTTCTCAACAGAAACATTACAGGCCAGAAGGGAGTAGTGAGAAATATTCAAAGTGATGAAAAGCAAGGACCTACAACCAAGATTACTCTATCCAGCAAAGCTATCATTTAGAATTGAAGGATAAAGAGCTTCCCAGACAAGGGAAAGCTAAAGGAATTTATCACCATCAAACCAGTATTACATGAAATGTTAGAGTCTTCTTTAAGAAGAAGAAAAAGAACAATAAAATGGCAATAAATACATAGCTATAATAATAAAAGCATAATATGCTAATTAGACTGGACATCCTTTTGGATGAAACCGTGGTGGCGGGGGCCAAGGCAGAGGTGGCCGTGGCAGCGGCAGGAGCCAAGCCCCTTGCATGAACTTTGTGCATCGGGCCTCCAGTCTATCAATAAATGAATCTAAAAAACAAAATAACTGAAGAAACAGGACAGAAATAGACTCAGATACAGAGACCACTTTGACGTTTGCCAGATGGGAGTTTGCGGGGAGGGTGAAAAAGGCGAAAGGATTCAGAAGCACAAGTTGGCTATTACATAGTAACAGGGATGTAAGTATAACACAGGGAATCGTCAATTATAGTCTAATAACTATATATGGTGTCAGATGGGTGTGAGATTTATTGACATGATTACTTAGTAAGTCAGGTAATGTCTAATCATTATGTTGTACACATGAAACTAATATAATATTGCACGTCAACTGTAATTGAAAAATAAATGTTCTTTTTTAAAGGAAAGAAATTCTGGCATAGTCCACAGCATGGATGAGCCTTGAGACTATTATGCTACGACACAAATGGACAAATATTGTGTGATCCCACTTATATGAGGGACCTAGAGTAGTCAAAGCTATAGAAAGTAGGTAGGTGATGGTGTCATTGGCTGAGGAAAGAAGGAACGGACCGTAGCCAGTTGCTCAGTGGTTAGAGCATCAGCCCATGGACTGAAGGGTCTCAGATTTGACTCTGGTCAAGGGCAAGTACCTGGGTTGCAGGCTCAATCCCCAGGCCCAGTTGGGGCACATGCAGGAGGCAATCAGTCAATGTCACTCTCATATCGATGTTTCCGTCTGTCTCTCCTACTTCCTTCTACTTTCTCTAAAATCATGGAAAAAAATACCCTCTCGTGAGGATTAACGGAAGGAAGGAAGGAAGGAAGGAAGGAAGGAAGGAAGGAAGGAAGGAAGGAAGGAAGGGAGGGAGGGAGGAAGGAAGGAGGAAGGGAGCTGTATTTAGTGGGGAGTTTCAGGCCTTTGAGATGAAATGGTGATGGCGGCACACTGGATGTCCTAAGTACCACTGAACTATACACCTGGAAATGGCTAAGATGGTAATTTTTATGTGTATTTTACTTCAATAAAAAATTGGAAGAAAAACAAATCATGGTACTGTGTCAGTAAACTAACAATTCTATGCTCTGAGAGGTCACAGTTCGATTCCTAGTCAGGGCATGGCCCAGGTAGCAGGCTCAATCCCCAGTAGGGGGTCATACAAGAGGCAGCCAATTGATGTTACCCTCCCACATTGACATTTCTCTCTTCCTTCCTCTCTCTCTAAAATCAATAATAAATTTTTTAAAGTGAGCAATTAAATATGGTATCCTGAATTGCCTAAAACAGAAAAGTTTATTAGCGAAAAAATGGGCCAATAGCTTGTAGTGTACTTAATACTAATGTACCAAAGCTAATTTCTTAGTTTTGACATATATATACCATGACCACTAAGATGTTAACATTAGGGAAACTAGATAAAGGGGATACAGGGACTGGTTGTACTATCTTTGCAAGATTTCTCTAAACTAACATTATTCCAAAATAAAAGTTTATTTTAAAATGAGTTTTAAAAAGCAAGCAACTTTAAAAAGTTAGAATTCCTACATAGAAGACAAACACAACACAAATATATTAAAATTGACTAAGCAAGCAGCAAAATAGGAACACCCATAGATAGCTACAGGTGTGGAGTTTTATTTTTATTGTACTGTTCACTGTTGCCTAGCTATTATCTCATGATCCACTAATTGCAAAAGGCAGGTTGTTGAATTTTGTATTGCAGTACTAGTTCCTTAATGATCTGGGTGCCTTTTTCCACTTAGATCACACAGGTTTCTTATTGTGGATACAGTGTAAACTTCCTTCAGCCAGTGGATGATTTTACATCTTTGGGAAGTCAATTGTAAGTTTGTGAGCATCCTCTTTGGAGTCAATAATGAACCCAGGCAGTACCACTCAGACCATCCGGCCTTGGCTCGCGGTCCATCTTCCCGCTTCCACAGGGTGCACAGAATGTAAGCTTGTCTGGGAGCATACAGGCACCTGCACACACGTGTGGGTCACTTTAGCCACTGGAAGCCCAGGTTCAATGTGCTGCAGTTGGAGGAAAAAGACCACGAAACTTCATCAGTCACCAAGTCGTGGGAAGCAACTGGTAGAAACTTCTTGCTTTATTCCGAGTGTATTTAAATACTAGGCTCAGAACGAAGTGAAAACAAAGCTTTACTCAGAAAGACAACATGAAACACTGAGGTTTTCTTTCCCAGCCAGCTTCTCTTCTATTACAGGCCAACTATGTAAAAGCTGATATGACTTATAGACGCGTAGGAAATACACTGTCGCTTTTACCTACTCTGCCCAAGGGAGAAATGACTAAGGACATTGTCTCTCCTTTCCTTCCCTTCTCCAAAGCCAGCAGTCTGAGCATCGAGGGGCTACAGCCGCAGGTGCGAGGAGCTGCAGCCGCAGGTGCCAGGGGCTAGGGCTCACAGGTGCAGCTTGCATTTCCCTCCTCCACGACCTAAGGTCAGATAGTTAGCCTGCTTTGACCACAAATAGAGCTCTCAATTTCTCTAGCACAACCTGAACTTGATATGAGGCACTTACACAAAGAATGGTGCAGACAAGAAGGCAGCTTTATTGTACTTTGGGGGGGAAAAAACATGATTCCATTTAGGGAAGGGAAAAAAAAGCCATTGACACTGAGTGAGCAACAGCGCCATCTAGCGAAATGGCACACCACCAGGCTTCAGAGACCAGCCAGGAGCTGTGAGATTTGCTGGTGTAAATTTTCACCACAAAACATCAAAGATAATTAGGTCTTCAGAGAATCTAATTTTAAGAAACGATTTTTATCTTCAAAATGCATAAATGTTTGTGCTTTCTCTGCTTTTTTGAGTAACAAATGAGTTTTGTTTTGAACAGACCATCAAATTAAGCCTCGATTTCAAAGTTATGAAACACCGAGGCAACCGCCTCTTTGAACATCTATCACTCTTGCACTCTTGCTCAACAGTCTAATAGCAACCCCTGGTAATGACAGACAGTTCATAAAGAAGCAAAGCTCCACTGCACAAGAACTACACTGTTTACTCATTTCCGCCTTCTATCTTTACAGTCTAGGGTGCTAAGTATTTGCACTTCGCTTATTTGAATTCCTGGAAAAAAGCTTTAGAACGTACCAACAATTTTGCATAAATCACATAACCCAACTCTTATTGTGACTACACCATGACAGCGGGAGACACGGGCGTGAGGAGGTGGAGTGCCGCTCCTAATGGATAACGAAGCTATTCTTCTCAAGGCTTCAATGCGCCTTTACACCCAGGTGTTGCAGTAAACGTGTTGATTTGATGACTTCTATGAGCATATAAAGGGGAATATTTAGTGAAACACCTGGCTGGGAAAAGAAATGAAGTTGTAACAATAACATATTGTTTATAAACATCAATCTCAGATCGGCATCTCTGCGATTACTGAGATATTAGATTCTGGGTTAAGTGCTCTGCTCTTTGGAATATCCACAATGGTTACTGACCAGCTAGTGAGTTCCTGCATTGCAACATGTCTGGGTATGTGGTGGAGGCACTCACAGATCCTAGAATGCACGAGTCCGACACAGTCTTCATCAACCCATATGCTTGGCAACTAATAAATTCAGGGGAGGATTTCAGGATGAACCAAGTCCTGGGAAAGAGGTATACAAGTGTAGGGGAAGAAGTGGAATTAAAACATCTTTAGGTTCTGTTTTTTTGGTAGACATAACTGAATGTTTCAGTTCTGAGAACCTGAGATTGTCCAGAAACACAAAGTTCTGAGTGTAGGACGTTAGCTACCACAAAGGCTGAGCCAGTGTTTTGCATTCCCCAAAGCAACGTGAATTGGAGAGTGGGTGGTAGTCCCTGAAGTACTGTATCCCAGTGAGGTGGCTCTCTTGAGGGCTGGTCTGACTGCCTCCGTGTTCACAATTCACAGCCCCCCGCCCCGCACGGGCCTTCCTGCAGCTGCATCTTCCACATAAACGTGACTAGTGGGGTGTCCCTGAAGTCAAAGCAGTGCAAGGTGCTGGGAGCCTTTCATGAACTCAAACCTGATACTGAAGTCATCTCCAAAAGAGTTTATTAGCATGATTAAAACAGCTTCTTGAATAAGGACAGAAAGATGTCTAAACAGGACAGAGTGCCAGTGGCTATACCTTATACCCAGTATCTGCAGCTGAAGGACACCTTCATTGCCAGCCCTCACTTCACTGGAAACAATCCGCATGTGCTGTTCCCATGAGAAGGCATGACTATTGCTAGGACTGGCAAGGAGTCCCCACTGCAATGAAGTATAAAAAATATCTCCTGTAATTGGAGTGAGACCTGCATACTGAGTAAGAGCTGATAAAATCATCAAAGAGTTGGGTTGTTTTTTTAAAAAAACATTCCTTTTACACACTACAAAGAAATAATTAGTATTTTGGCTTTTTAAATTCCTACATGATCTTTAGCCCGACAGCCCCCAGCTCCTCCCCGCGTGGTGGAGAATGCAGACGCTCTTCGGTCACACGGGTCTGAGAACAAAGACAGCGTCGTCCAGGACGTAGTAGTCGTTGTACATGTCCCCTTCACACAGGTACGGCAGTCTGGTGAAAGCCTCGATCGCAAAACCCGCTTTCCCGAAAACTTCAGGCAGACTGTTCACTTGCTCTTCCCAGTTCTGTCCCTTGATTTCCAAAATTTCTGATGGCTTTTCCCACTTGCCACCTACTAAAACAAATAAAACATTAAGTTAAATTCTTGAACAAACGAGTTGTTTGAAGGGGGGAGGAGGGACGAGTGTGCCAAGCGCTGGGTGCTCTGCTGACTCCCTCCCAGGCTCCTGAGGTAGGGGACAGAGACAAGGGGCAGACTGAAAAAGGGGAGGAGCCCAGCTTGCAAGGCCAGTGAGCGCCAGAGCAGGCAGGTGCGTCGGGTTCTGCCCCAAAGTTCACTAAATACTGGAAAACTGAGGCAGGAGCAACACATGATACTGGAAGGAGGGTTTTGGATAAATACAAGAAAACACCACTGCTGTAGTAAACTTATGCAACAAATTAATTAGAGAAGTTTATAAGGCTGAAAATAAAACTAGGTTAATACAGGATTTTAATTTATAAAAATAAATAATTAGTGTGCTTTTCAAGGGAAGTTGATCCACTAACTTTTCTTTAAAAAAAAATATATATATATATATATATATATACATATATATATATATATATATTTTATTGATTTCAGAGAGGAAGAGAGAGGGAGAGATAGAAACATCAATGATGAGAGAGAATCATTGACTGGCGGCCTCCTGCATGCACCCAACTGGGGATCAAGCCCACAACCTGAGCATTGAGCCCACAACCTGGGCATGTGCCCCTGACCGGAATCAAACCTGGGACCCTTCAGTCTGCAGGCCAACCAACGCTCTATCTACTGAGCCAAACCAGCTAGGGCCATTCCCTAACTTTTCAAAACAACCTTATAAATTAAAGCTCCAGGACCAGAGACAGCGAGAACGGATGCGTCCCGCATTCCCTGCACTGACACCATGTCAACCACCTCATCTGAGCAACACGGGGGGTGGGGGGGTGTCTTCAGGTTCACATACATACCAAGCATCGACTAGAGAGAGAGACACACACAATGTAAATTCAGGTGCTTGTAGATACTATGATATTGTAAAATAAACACACAAAAATTAAGTGTTACTAAATTCAGCTGGAATAACGTGCTGTCAACGGGAAACTCTGTCACTGTCAGTGCCAAGAGCACAAGCCCTGCAGTGGGAAGACGTCACAGGACACCCTCTCCTGCCTTTGAGCTCAGACACACTGGCTGAGCCCTGGCAGGAAGAGCTGGTGCCCCAGGAGTGAGGGCGGAGCCTCCTGGGGGGGGGGGGGGAGCAGTGGCAGGGCGCCAAGGCTGGGGCAGCACTGGCAGGTGCTTGGCGGTGGTGTGGGCTTCAGATCAGCTTGATGGAGTGACCGGGGCATTTTTCTTGGCTGCAGCCAACATGCGATTCTGCCGTCTTCTCAGTGGCTCTGTGACCCCCTCCATCCTTTCCTTAAGTTCCCTTTTGCTTACGTCAGCAGAGTCCATTTCTGCTGTTTAGAAAGGCCTGAGCACGGAGGGGGCAGGGAGCAGGGCGGGAGGGACGGACGACAGGTCCCACACACCTGCTTCACTGACACGTTCAAAAGGGGCCACACAACTGGGCTCAGCTACTTACTGGCACAGCGTGTTGTTCATTATGCTGAGATGCGTTTACTGTTCACTGATCTCTCTGTGGCGATTCCAGCGGTGACTCCCAAGACCGGCAAAGGGACTGCGCTGGACATTTAAGTAATACTCCTTCCCGGGAATACCCACAAATCAAGTCTCACTCACACCATCTAGAGCCAAAGAGGCTTTGCGAAAAGCCAAGACAAATGTGTCATATGAACACCTAGACATGTGCTCTAGGCTAAAGTCTCAACTTCAAATGGCGAAACTGCATTACAAACAATATTTACAGAATTTCAAAAAGTTCCTGATTATGGTTCCTTAATAAGAGTTCCTCTCTTCAGTTCTTCCTTCTAAAAAGAGGAAAAAAGGGCAACTCTCTTCAAATACACGCCCCCACCCCACACACACACAGAGATGGAGGCTGTGGACGCGGCCAGGGCCCTCCTCGGCCTGGAAGTCAGTCTGCTTCTGTGCTGTGTCGGTAAGCCGCTTTTTCTCCTCCACTTGACTTAAATCAATTGCTATTTTTTGCCTAATGCATTTATATTTATATTTTAAGCCCCTACAAAATAATTTTAAAATGTGTAACATTACAGAAATTGTCTAAAGTGGTAAGTTTCCTTTTCCCGGGGGAAATGGTGATAAGAGAATCGCTGAGAACGTTTCATATTCGCACTGGAAACTTCCCTTTGCTATTAGCTGCTTTACAGAGAGCACCGCACCAAAGGGTGAGCTAGTCCTACAGCTCAGGGACAGGGCTCCCAACCCCACAGGGTGACAGTGAGCGCTGAGCACAGCCCTGAATGTCTTCACAGAACGGTGCTTCTGAAAAGCTGAATCTCTATAAAAGAGAGGGACTACCGGGGCGGGGGGGGGGGAGGGGGGCGGACTGCTTCAGCTCCTTTCCCGAGAATAACCACCCTGTCACAGAACTGAGTTTAAATTCTGCTGCTGCTGTTTTCAACCATGAAAGAAAGTGGTTCCCACCTCACAGTTCTAATCATCTCATCATAGTCCTGATATAATGATCTCAGTTCTGCCCACAAAGTTTGGGTTATAGGGCAGAGAAGGCAGCAAAAGCTCTTAAAATTAACTTTTTTCACCTGTTAAAAATAAATATAAAAATGTTAACAGTGGTTATTTTGGGTTAAAGGACTCTATGGGTGATTTCTCACTTCCACTTTCAATATCCTATTTTTTCTATGAGGTGCACCTTATGTCTATCAGCTTGTAACTGGTGTGACTGTAAAGTAGAACCCTGCTCTTTTAACGATGCTCCCTGAAGGGGTGCGGACAGTGCCTGGGAGCTGCCTAAGGGGGAGTGGGCGCAGGTGGCGCGGCCAGGGAGCTCGCTGTGCCAGCTGCTATTCCGCATGCTCAAAGCTGTCCCTGAGGGGCTTTCTCCTTTTCAAAAATTCGTTTTTAACTTATTTTCTAGTTTTGTTTTTAAAAATAGTAAAATAACCTTTTTAAATTCCCTCCACCAAGGAGATAAACTTTCAACCCTTTCAGAGGGTACTACGTTTAAAATATCCTACAGAACATGAGAGCTCTTAAAGGAGCAGGCTGTGTGTGGCACATCATCCCAGCTTCTCTTTTTTTGGAGCTGTTGCTTAACTGGGACATGAAGAAACAGAAGTTTCCTCACAAGTCTGCTCTGACAACTCCGGAAACCCTACCACTGATGTGCTCTCACGCAGACTCATTTTGCAGAACTGGAAATAGGCGGAGATATAAAACTCCAGAACTGCAAATAGTTCTTTTATCCTGGGCATTAGTTCTCCAAGGAAAGTGTTAAAAGCTGGCTTCTCTGGCCCTGGTCTCTTGCTCAGTGGTTAGAGTGTCAAACTGTGCATAGAAGGGCCTCGGGGTCAATGCCCGGTCAAGGGCATGTACCTGAGTTGCAGGTTCGATCCTTGGCCCTGTCGGGCATGTGTGGGAGGCAAGCAATCGATGTCTCTCTCTCACACTGATGGTTCACTCTCTCTCTCTTTCCTCTTTCTCTCCTTTCCTCCCTTTCCCTCTCCCTACCTACTCCTCCCTTCCACTTTCTCTAAAACTCAATAGCAAAAATATCCTCAGGTTAGGATTTTTTTTTAAATGTATTTTTATGGATTTCAGAGAGGAAGGAAGAAACATCAATGATGAGAATCACTGATCAGCTGCCTCCTGCATGCCCCCTCACTGGGGATTGAGGGGGAAATCCAAGCATGTGCCCTTGACTGGAATCGAACCCGGGACCCTTCAGTCCGTAGGCTGATGCTCTATCCACTGAGCCAAACCAGCTAGGGCGGGTTAGGATTTACAAACCAAAAAAAAGCCAGCTTCTCTTTTAAGAATTCCTTCCCACAAAGGACTTGGAACTGAGACACTTTGTTAATCTGTTACATTGCAACAGGCCCAAGTCAAATTCAAAGCCTCCAAGATAAAATGATCAGTGTTCTCTAGCGTCAAGGTGACGTGTGGGCAGGAGGCCTGCGCGCCGCTGCTGAGCCTGTGCAGCCTGGCCGTGCCAGCGGGTGCTCGGGGTGGCCTGACCCTCTCATGTGGCTCACGTTTAAGAGGTCACTTAAAAGCTCCCGGCTCATCTCAAATTGTACAAACACTAAACTTAAAAAGCGGCGAGAACAGCTTTGCCTCACAACCAGGCCTGTAATAAAGTGCAAGTGAACCAGGCCCGTCCGGACCTCGAGCACCAGACCAGCTGGTCTCTCTTCCATTTCATTTGCAGACACAGACCATTTAGAAACATACAACCAGGCAGAAGTCAGACTAAAAACAGGCCAAAATAACTAGAATGTGTCTCAGCCAATACTACTCCAGGCAGAGCTCACGCCCCCCACGGGCTGTGGGCAGAATCTCCATTTATAAACCCCTGATGGCTTCCCAGCTTCACCCGCCGGGTAAGGTGGAGGCAGGGCCACCCTGCATGACGGGGAAGCAGCACGCAGGTGGCCAGCACGGCCGGGTGTCCAGTCCAGCCTGCTAGCACCCACTGGACGCCCACGATAGTCTCTAAAATGGCGCAGAAGCAGGAACAGTGGCGGCGGCGGCAGCAATATCTTGCTTTTCTTAAATACTTCCATGGGCAAGCAAGTAAACATCCTTCTGCATCAAGGGTCTCACTCGCCCCTGAGGGGCAGAACGCTACCCCCCGTTCTGCTAGTGAGTAGCTGAGCCACACCAGAGAGCAGGCAGAGCCAGGACCCCCCTCCAGTCTGTGCCTGTTGTCCCAGTGTTTCCATCCGAGCAGCACGGCGGCCAGGGCGAAGCCAAACTTGCTGGGCCAGGCAGGCCTGGCTCGTTAGGCCTCTGCTCAGCACCCGAGCCAGGGCAGCATTGCCCCAGGTGTGCTTCTCGCCTTTCACAATGTTGCCCACAGGGACAACCCAGCTCACAGAGGGGCAATGTGAAGGCCCACGAATTCCTAGCAATCCCACCCCCACAGGGCAAAACCCCAAATGCCTCCTGCTCACGTGGCTCTGTCATGGCAGCAGCACCTGCATGAGGGGCTCTGATCCCAGCACCACACTGGACGCGACAGTCCTGCGAGGCTAGGATATGGATGGGGAAGCAGGCTCTGAGGTCCCAGGGCAGCTGGTCAGTCAGTCTGTCGGGTGTGACCACGGGGACCCCGACCTCCTGATCGGGCAGGGCCGACGCCACTGGAACTTCTCTGGGGCTGTTCCCAAGTAAGCAGACGTCGCTGTGAACCAGGTCAGGCCAGGAAACATGGGGAGTAAGGCAAAGTGAGGGCACTGGTGTCTTATTTGTTCAGTCGTTGGTGCTGAGCGTAAGGTAAGAAAAAGAAAGGTGGGCTCTCTGGCCCACAAGTGTCAGCGAGGTCCAAGCAGCGCTGTCTTCCTCCAGGTGCCGCGGGCGGCTGCACCGTGTCCGTCTCGCAGCCGCCTGTCCTCGAAGTGGACTACGCGGAAGGGGCGGTGACCGTGCCCTGCTCCTTCTCCACGACGGGCTGCCCCCCCGAGCTCCCCAGCAGCCTGTGGTTCCGCTACGGGGCTCACTGGACGGAGACCCTCTGCGTGGACGGGTGCACAAGTGAGGCCGACAAGTTTACAGTGAGGAAGGCCCTGGCACAGAACCAGGTCTCCCTCACAGTCAACCAGCTGACGCCCAATGACAGTGCCATATACATCTGTGGACTCGCCTCGCCCAGCTCAGAGGACCCAAGGGCCAAGCAGGTCGGAGCGGGGACCGTGCTGGTGGTGAGAGGTCAGTGGTCACGGCTGTGCTCCAGCGCACCGCACGCTGCGCGGCCTTGAAACACACTGCCCACCTTACACTCGGAGCGCACCACAGCTCTGCCGACTTAGTTCCCTGGCCAGGGAAGGCCAGCACACGGTTTGGTTAGAAAACCCCTGGGAGCCCCTCTCCAGCCTCCACAGTCGGCGGTATGTCGGCACTCCGCCCTCTCCCCACACCCAGATGTCACTAGTGAGGGTGACCTTTCTTGTGTGATGGTGGGTGGTGGAGCATCCCATGCCATGCTAACCCCCCCTTTCTCAGGAACTGGCCCGATATCACACCATCTAGAGCAGTGGTTCTCAACCTGTGGGTCGCGATCCCTTTGGCGGTCGAACGACCCTTTCACAGGGGTTGTCTAAGACCATCCTGCATATCAGATATTTACATTATGATTCATAACAGTAGCAACATTACAGTTATGAAGTAGCAACGAAAATAATTTTATGGTTGGGTCACAACATGAGGAACTGTATTTAAAGGGCCAGAAGGTGAGAACCACTGATCTAGAACAAAGCACTGCAGGGGCGCATAAGTGATTGATAAATTGGACCCAGAAAAAATATGCATAATGGAGAATAAATACAAATTTGGGGAGAAGCCAAAGGATGTCCCTGACCCTGCCATTCTGTGTGCACAGAAGAGGAAGGGGCTAGTGGGGCTCTGGCTCTTGAGATTTGTTAAAACCCACGACAATTTCCTCATTCAAGTGAAGACACTGACCCTAGCCAAGTCCTATATTTAAGAAATAAAATTTTTAAACTTAGGGATAGAGCTTCACATGATGGGAAAAGAGAGGGGCAGTAACTCCCAGACCCCATCTCTTCCCTTAAAAATGGCTCCGGTGCGATGGGCGCTGAGAGCATGGAAACATGGACTCGGTGTGCACCAGCCACAGTGCACTTGCACAGGACTCGGCAGGCCCGCTCCCCTCTGCATCCTGCTGTTCATTACTAGGGTGTCCTCGTGGGCTCTGGGCATCCCACTGCCACCTAGCCTTACTTCACTCTCACCTGTAAGATAAATTGTAAATGAACTAATGTGCAAAGAGCATTTTTATCGGTGCCTAGCTTATAGCAAGTCCTCAATAAATGTTAGCTACAGACATGAGAACAAACACACGACTTGAGATTTGTACAGCTCACTGCATTGGTCCTCTGTAAAAACAGCAGCCATAGAAAAATGCAAGCTTGTATGAAGAGAAATTCTCGTTTTAGGAGCAGAAATGAAAGTATTGCTAATACAGACATGAAAAATTCCTATCTTCTCCGTAGAACTCCTAATTTAGCACTTGGAACATTTTTTAAAAGTTTTCCCGCTATGGTTAATTTGTTAGTTTCAGAACAAAAATATACATTGTATAAACCGAGTTCACAGGATAAGCATCTATAGGTATGTAATTGAAAAGTACAGGTTATTCAGATAATGATTACAAATCAAATTGTATTTTACACTTCAAATAATCAAGTACTTGAAGGCAGCATATGACCCCGCCCCTACCGAGAGCCCAGCACACTTCCTGCAAGCAGGGAGCATTCAGAATGTGAAAGTGGACTTAATAATTCTCCTTCCAAGACTTCATGAGCAAGAAGGGGCATGGAACAGCAGCTGCCGTCTAAGAGTGTAACATGCACTGCAGCCGCCACGCCCGGCTGGCGGGCCCTTCCCAGATGGCGCTGGTCGGCTAGCGTTCTCAACAGCTCGAGGCCACAGCGCTGACAAGCACAGGGACACATCTCCACCCACAGACAGATCCCAGACACTGCTCACCGTCTCCACCAAGAGCAGCCTCCCATGCCCTTGAACTAACTGTCTTGAAATATCTAACTTTAAATAACACTTTATATAAAAAGTGATTCTTACCTTTGTGACAATTGGATTTTAAAACTTCTTAGTTTTAAAAACAAGTAACATTTTCAGCATAATACATTTAAAAAACTGATGAACTGGCTTTCACTATAGCATATACTTGAATGTCTTTAAAATCAAGAGACCATAAATACATTTTTATGAATTGCCAAGCGGAGTGTGTGTTTTACCTCTAAAATGTAGCTTCAGTTGAGCCTTACATGTGCACTCACAGTAGTAAGTTCCCACTGACTGGCTGTCTCTGTTCTGCAATTAACCAGGAGCGCGAGGCCCAGGCAAGGCCCTGCGGGGGCTCCTGGCGGCTCTGCTGGCTCTGCTCTCCGTCTACGTGGTCGTGGTGCTCGGGATCTTCGTCATCCTTGCCAGGGTAAGTCCAGTTGCCTTACACTGGACCCCAAAGCCTTGACTCTCATCACAAGGAAATGACTCCCACCCCTCCACGCGGAGCCTCAGAACAGCTCCCCTCGCGACTGGCTCCCTGAGTGGCGGCAGTAAGCACCGCCTGCCGGGGAGTCGGAGAAGCAAGCACATTTTCATCCCAGCAATCGTCACTGACCAGAGGACCCAATGTTTTCTCTTTAAAACCTATATTACTGGAATAAGGACCCTTCTTCAAAACCACCTTATATGCTATCTGTCTGCTGGGGGCAGGGGGAGTTAAGAATGAGCAAAAAGGGTCTGGCCAGTGTGGCTCAGCAGTTAAGCGTTGGCCAGTGAGCCAGGAGGTCAGGACACATGACTGGGCGCGATACCCAGTGGGGGTACGGGAGGCAGCCGATCAGTGATTCTCTCATCATTGATGTTTCTATCTTTCCCTCTCCCTTCCTCTCTGAAATCAATAAAAATATATATTTTTTAAAAAAGGAATGAGCAAAAAAGAGTTAACAAAAAGATCAGGAGCTGCCCTAAAATATTTTTAAAAGGCCTAAAGTTTTTGAGAAAGAGTACCTATCTCCTGGCTGCTCATATGCTGCTATAAGAGGGGGTCTATGTGTGTGATATCAGGGTTGCTATAAATACAACAATCAATATCAGTCTGAGTTATTTTATTAATATAATAAAAGCATCTCAGAAACGGCATGAAAATGATTAATTTTTACTGTATAGCCTTAAATATTGTTAGTTCAATCTTATGGGAGGTATCTGCCGCAATTGTTTTGAGTACATAAAATATCTCTTAAAATTCTCCTTTTCTTTTTGACAGTCAAAATTTAACACTCTAAGAAACAAAGAAAAAGAAGATTCACAAAAGGTACAGACCAATGCTTGTAAAATATCTTTTACATTGTGGCAGGTTGTAACTATTTCAAATCTGAAACAGTTTAAGAGACACAGAGAGCATCATGGTAACTTTCAACCATAGCTACTGTCTCCTATTGTTGAGAAACTCAATGATAATCTCAAATGATAAACTGGGATTTAAACTTGATAGTTCTCAGCCATAAATTCAACTTAATATACTAAAAATATCAGAGGTAATGGTAGGATTAGGTATGCTGGGGGGGAGGAGGGGGCGGGGGGAGGTGCAACATCCAGCACTTCCAGTCCTAAGACAGAGGCACTGTTTTCTCATTTGTATTTACAGAAAAAGAGTGCCAGGCGTATTTTTCGGGAAATTGCTCAAGAACTTTACAGTAAGAGACATGTGGGAACAAGTCACCAACCTGTAAGTATAAAGTATGAAAAAGATGTCATGCCATTATACAGCATGTTTGACTAAACACTAAGCTGCCAATAAGCCATCGATAATCACGGCTTCCTGTGGAGGAGTCCAATAGAGGGCTTTCGCACGCAGCGAGCTCTCATTTAGAGCCGTCTGGGTAAAGGCACCCCAAAGGCATCTGACACACAGAGACCCGGCAGGCCCCGCAGTGACATGGACTCTGAGAAGCACAGTGGCTACTGGCAATGCTTTCAGTGCGGACGAGGGTGCTGGGGTCCGCGGCTCCTTCGTATAGTATGCAGAGGGAGACACCGCACCGATGCTGCACACACTTGTGGATCGCGCTATATCGTAAACATTATCTGTTGCTAATAAGGCAGAAAGAAACTCACAGCTGGAAAGACACAGCTAATGGGAATAAAAGCTGAATGTGTCTTCAGGCTCCGGGGCTGGAGTGGCAGGAGGAATGCCCGACACCTCGGCCAGTGTCTCGCCAAAGCCCTGTGTGAACAGGTTTCCCAACAAGATGCTGGTTCACAGCCAGCAGAGCGATACTCAGATCCCATGACACATGACCAGATGTTCAGATTTGAGTTAAAATTATACAGAACACTGAACGTATGTACTACGAAGGGCATTTTCCTCCTAAACGGAACAGGTTTCTGAGAGAGGTGCGTTTTTTAAAAATCAACTTTTAAAAAGAGTTTTCATGCAGAAGAGAATATCGTCTAAGGAATCATTTCATTCTTTGGTATATATGCAGATACACAGAGAAGTGGTATGCCGCCCGAGATGCCGCTCTGAATAATTATAATGCCCGTTCACACTCCTTTCTCAGTGAGGCTGGCAAAGGGGCAAAGTGGCCTACAGATAGGCCTGGGCATCGGAATTGCAACATGCTTAAGCCAGGGCTTTGGCAATGGCATCTGAACAAGAAAAGGAACTTTCCGTCCCCACAACTTTGCTAAATACTTGGCCTTTCAAAATACTGGAAGGACACTCAGGACCCAGAATGCACGATGGCACTATATGTTGTGTTCAATGTGGCATCAGTGATTACATAACCTTAAATATGGCTTATTGACTATTGCAGGAGAAAGACAACACTTATGAAAACAGGACAGCACTGGACAACTATGAAAGACCATAGAAACTATTTAACCTTCAAGTAAGTCACTGAAAATTCAGAAGTTATGGTAGTTTTAATGGACATATACCCTTCAGGGCTTTAAAAACATAAACAAAGATGAATGGAAAAGACAACTGGGCACAAGTAAGGATGCCGGAGTACAAGAAACTACAATTGCAACAACTACCAAACACTCAAACTCAATGAAACTGCACGTACTTCCCTAACTCGCTAGAAGATTCTACACTCATGTGGTCAAGATCAACACCCTGGTGAGGCCTGATGGAGAGAAGGCATGTGTTCAGCTGGCTCCTGACTATGAAGTTTTGGATGTTGCCAACAAAGTTGGGATCATCTAAACTGAGTCAAGCTGCGTAATTCTAAGTCTAAAAATGTTACACTGTATAAATAAATAAATAAATAAATAAATAAATAAATAAATAAATAAATAGAATTCTAAGCATTCTAACATTTTCCAGAAAGCTCGTTTTTACACCATGCATTCTATATTTGCCTCATTCAACATGAGGTGTGTGATGACCATTACCCTGAAGAAGATCTAAAGTCATACCATATGCCTCAGTCTTGAGTGGAGGAACAGTCTATGGGTTGTACAAGTAGTAGGCCAATGAGATTAAGCTGGAGGGACGGAAAAAGGAAGGCAAGGAAGGAGGGAGGGAGGGAGGGAGGGAGGGAGGGAGGGAGGGAGGGAGGGAGGGAGGGAGGGAGGGAGGGAGGGAAATCTGAGCTGGAGAAAAATCACCTCACAAAGTACCTTGGAGCAAAACTCATCTCCTTTCCTACGGCCTGGGCACTGCATGGCACCCATTCTCAGCCAGGTATGCACAATGCCACCAACAAAGAGTGAGACTAGCACAGAGCAGAGTAAGAACACAGGAGCTAAAATACAGACCACCCAAAGCAGAAGGCTGAACAGAGAAAGCCTCAGAGCAGATCACCATAGCCAACTCCGCATGTCCATGTTGTGCCAAGAAAACAGGTTATGGATTGTTCTTTGAAGGCTACTTCAGTGCAAAAAAATTTATTTAAAGTGCCTTCAAGTGTACACTCATTACTAAATATGAGTTACAGCCTACTGCTTTTACTTCATTAAAGTGTTTCTTTTAAAATGGCATTAAATAAGTGTACTCTTATTTTTAAAACCCAGATAGAATTTTTAAATATTTTAAGATCCCTTTGAAAACGTTTTGCATTATGGATGACATAAATCCATAATCTTCAATCTTTCTAGTTACACATGCCAGAAAAAATGGAAAGAGGGGAGCATGTAAACACATTTTATTTGTGTGTATACATATGTTGTGTATGTATGTTTTATTAAGTGCAGTGTATGTGTGAGCATGTATGTGTGCATCTTAGACATCAAAATAGAAATTAAACAATTGGCATAAAAAGTAATACACAGATGTCCCTTAAACAGTGCACGGTTTAGGGACACCAACTTCTCCCCCTGAGCAGTCAAAAATACACTTATAACTTTTGATTCCCCAAAACTTAACTACTAATAGCCTACTGTTGACCGAAAGCCTTACCAAAAACATAAACAGCCAACACATATTTTGTATATATATATATACTAGAGGCCCAGTGCATGAAAATTCGTGCACTGGGGTGGTGGTGGGGTCCCTCAGCTCGGCCTGCCCCCTCTTACAGTCCTGGAGCCCTCAGGGGATGTCCTATTGACAGCTTAGGCCCAATCGGGCCAATCAGGGGAAGGTGCCACTTCCATAACCCCCCTGCTGCTGCCACTGCCAGCCACTGAGGCTGCAGGCGCTTGGCCCTCACTTCTTAGTGCTGGCCCCGCCCCCCCACGCCCCCCCCAGCGATCTGGGACCAGGCTGGCTGGGGGAGGGGCTGTGGGAGGTTGAGGCACAGCAGGTCGCACCCTGTCCAGCTTCTGTGGAGATGTGACGCCGGGACCAGGCCTGTGCCACTGCCTCTGTGGCTGCCTCTGTGGAAGGGGCAGCACTGGGACCGGGACTGCACAGCCCCCTCTCCCGCTGCCTCTGCAGAAGGGGCTGTGACACTGGACTGGCCCATGCTGCGGCCTCTCCTGCGCCGCCGGCCCTTGGCCCTTGCAGCTGCTGTGGCTTTGTCCGGAAGGATGTCTGGAAGACATCCAGTCTATCTGGTCTAGTTAGCATATTACCCTTTTATTAGTATGTATATATATATATATATACACACACACACACACACACACATATATATTTACTATGTTCTTACAATAAAGTAAGCTAGATAAAATGTTATTAAGAGTGCCTGGTATATGTATAATGTGCATTCTTTTTTTAAAAATATATATTTTTCCTGATTTCAGAGAGGATGGGAGAGGGAGAGGGAGATAGAGACATCAATGATGAGAGAATCATCGATCGGCTGCCTCCTACACAACCCACACTGGGGATCGATTCCCGGGCAAGTACTCTGACCGGGAATTGAACTGTGACCTCCTCGTTCACAGGTCGATGCTCAACCACTGAGCCCCGCCAGCCGGGCTGATGTGTATTCCTTTATTCATCCGTCTAGCCAACAATACTTCCTGAGCACTTTATGAGTGCAAGTCGAAGGTCTCTGCGGACTGCCCTGGCTCCTGCCGAGCGTGCCCTTCCCAGCCCCGGTCCATGCTCTCGTGCTTCTTCTCATCCTGTTCCCTCTGCCAAGCAAAACGCTTCACAGAAACCACACGGCTCCAGTGTCACCTCCCACGGAAACCCACAGCACCTTGTCATATTTCCTATCAGACTACCCTCCACTGTCTATTTACATCTGCCTTCGGTACTATTCTGTGAGTGTTTTAAGGCTAGAAGCATGTGTTTCATTATATCTTTGTATTTCCACTGTCCAGGCAATGCCTGGTATGTAGTAGGCTCTCAAATGTCATTATATGAATGCAACTGAACAATGTTTCTATAGAAAAATACTTTTTCTGCACTTCAACTGAGCTATGACGCACATTCACTGCTTAGCCATCGACCCTCACACCCCTCCATAAAGACTGCTTGTTGAATCCCTACTATTAACATTCCTATTATCTGAGCACCCAGAATAGGCGCTGGAAAGGATTACACTGGAATGGATTTCCATTTAGATTAAGTTTCCCATGACAATGAAAACAGAATAATACTGAAAGAACTAAAGAGAGAAACAGACTGAGCCATGGTTCTAGTGTCTACACACCCTACAGGGCACTTAAACCACATACGGAAAGCTGGTGGTGGGTTTTCAGAATGAGCCCACTCCCCCTGCTGTGTAAGAGGAGAACTGCATGCCCGGCCAATAGAATGCACTTGAGTCTCTGTGGAGCAAGTCACATAAACCCATGCCAAGTGCAACCTCTGAGCTGAAATCAGAAAGCAGGTTATGATCATTATTGTTAAAGGCACTTGACAGGCAGATCTAAAGGACACTGACAAATGTTTCAAACGGAAGAACTGTAAACATATATGATCAATAAAGCCACAAATAAAAACGAAGTAACAACAGATGGGATAACATAAATCTGGTGTGGCAAATGCCAGTGCTAAAATGGACACGGTTGGGCACTACCCTATACATCAGATTATTTAATCCTCACAACATACCTCCAAATAAGTATTAGCCCATTTTACAGATGAGAGGCCCAGGTAGTAAGGGCTACCCATGTTTCTAACATAGGCTGGCCCTCAAGGCCCAAGTTCTTACCAGAAAACAGCCTGTCAGTCTTGCTTGTTCTATTTAGACAGATGGGAGCTTTCAGACGAAATGTGTCTAATTTAACTAGAACAATCAGCATGGAAAAAAGTGAGAAAGCTGCCAAAGGCTACCTTTCAAAAAGTATAGGCCTAGCTGCTGTCACCGGAGAAAACTACTGAACTTCCCAAGAACAGATAACCACGTGCCACTTAAACTGTCCGAGAGCATAAAAAACCTTCCAAATCAGTTTTTACAAAGCCAGCAGAACACCAATACCAAAACATGACACAGATAACATCCACCAAATAAACACAGGCCAAACATCATTCACCAGCATTAATGCTCATATTTTACTTAGAATTTAAAAAAAACAATCCAGTGATGCGCAAGACGATCCAGTCTAAACCCAGAACTGCAAGGCTGGATATATATATGAGAAAAGTGCTTTTAGTTTATGAATTCAAAGGAGAAAAGGCAGGATAACCACACCTCCATCAATGTTGAAAACACCAGTGAAATATTCAATAGTGATTCCCGATTTTTTAAACTCTTAATAAAACAGGACTTAAAAAATATGTAGCTCAAGGCAAACAACAGCAACCTCAAGGCAAAAGATAGTATCATATTTAAAGTAGAAACATTGGGAACCAAGATGGTGGCATAGGTAAACACCGGAGATTGCTGCCTTGCACAACCACTTCAAAAATACAACTAAAAGATGGAACGGACATCACCCAGAACCACAGGAAGGCTGGCTGAGGGGAAGTTCTACAACTAGAAGGAAAGAGAAAACCATACTGAGACTCAGAGGAGGCGCAGTGCGGAAGTCAAATACTAAGGTGCGGAGGTGCGCACGGAGCGGGCTGGCGGGTGAGGGAGCGGTTGTCTGTTTCAATGGGGAGGGAGTCTCAGACTCTGAGCTCCAGATCTGGGCGAGTCTCTAGGGACCCAGACTCAAACGGGAGAAGTGGGACTGTCTGGCATTGGTCGGAACTCGAGGGCAGCTTTCTTTCCAAGGTTTGCAGCGGTTGCTCGGCTCTGAGAGGCGGAGCCCCTGGGGACGGGACTGAGAGCAGCCATAACTGCTTGCTCCGCCCGCCCTGTTGATCCCCTGGGACCCGCCCCGCCCAAGCCCTGCACCGAGGCATTTGCCAGATAGCCTCATGCAAAGGCTAGATTAGCACCTCCCTAGAAGACAGAAGTTCTCCCACTGCAGACACAGCTGATTCTCACAGCCAGTTGGCCTGGAGGTCAAATCCCCCCCAGTATTACCTACAACAATCAAGGCTTAGCTACAACAAGACTGCACACAAAGACCACTAGGGGGTGCACCAAGAAAGCATAAAAAATGCGGAGACAAAGAACAGGACACAAATGTCAGAATTGGAGGATATAGAGTTCAAAACCACACTTTTAAGGTCTTTCAATAATTTTCTAGAAACTGCCAATAAACTTAATGAGATCTACAAGAAATCTAATGAGACCCTCGATGTTGTGATAAAGAACCAACTAGAAATTAAGCATACACTGACTGAAATAAAGAATACAGACTCCCAACAACAGACCAGAGGAGCGCAAGAATCAAGTCAAAGATTTGAAATGCGAGGAAGCAAAAAACACCCAACCAGAAAAGCAAAATGAAAAAAGAATCCGAAAATACGAAGATAGTGTAAGGAGCCTCTGGGACAGCTTCAAGCGTACCAACATCAGAATTATAGGCGTGCCAGAAGATGAGAGAGAGCAAGATATTGAAAACCTATTTGAAGAAATAATGACAGAAAACTTCCCCCACCTGGTGAAAGAAATAGACTTACAAGTCCAGGAAGCGCAGAGAACCCCAAACAAAAGGAATCCAAAGAGGACCACACCAAGACACATCATCATTAAAATGCCAAGAGCAAAAGACAAAGAGAGAATCTTAAAAGCAGCAAGAGAAAGAAACTCAGTTACCTACAAGGGCATACCCATACGACTGTCAGCTGATTTCTCAACAGAAACTTTGCAGGCCAGAAGGGAGTGGCAAGAAATATTCAAAGTGATGAATACCAAGAACCTACAACCAAGCTTACTTTATCCAGCAAAGCTAGCATTCAGAATTGAAGGTCAGATAAAAAGCTTCACAGATAAGGAAAAGCTAAAGGAGTTCATTACCACCAAACCAGTATTATATGAAATGCTGAAAGGTATCCTTTAAGAAGAGGAAGAAGAAGAAAAAGGTAAAGATACAAATTATGAACAACAAATATGCATCTATCAACAAGTGAATCTAAGAATCAAGTGAATAAATAATCTGATGAACAGAATGAACTGCTGATTATAATAGAATCAGAGACATAGAAAGGGAATGGACTGACTATTCTTGGGGATGAAAGGGGTGTGGGAGATGCGGGAAGAGACTGGACAAAAATCGTGCACCTATGGATGAGGACAGTGGGTGGGGAGTGAGGGTGGAGGGTGGGTGGGAACTGGGAGGAGGGGAGTTATGGGGGGGAAAGAGGAACAAATGTAATAATCTGAACAATAAAGATTTAATTTTAAAAAAATAAATAAATAAAAATAAAGTAGAAACATTTCATTAAAGTCAAAATCAAGACAAAAATGTCCACTGTTTTTTATTATCATTTTCTGGAATTAACTACCAATTCACTTGGACCAAAAACAAAAAGTCTGAAAATGAAAAGTAGCAAAATCACTTGCAGATGCTGTAACTGTGTATCAACAAAACACAAGAGAATCTATAAAAACAATTATTGGAAACACTAAAATAATTCAGTAAGATAAAGATAAAAATATCAACTCCCTACATATACATGGTATTCCTTCTAAAACAGAATGGAAGAGCCTCTTGCAACAACAGGAACAAACCTGGAAGACTGGTGCTCAGTGAAGTGGACAGATGCTGTATGATCTCACTCATGCATGGGAACTAAACGAGCCAAACTCCTAGACCAGAGAGGACAACAGTTGGCAGGGGCTGAGGTGTGAGAAAAGTGGGGAGATGCTAGTCAAACTGCCAGGTAATGACTAGGTCTTGGAGATCTGGTGTACAGCAAGTGACTACCTATACTAATAAAAGCCTAGGTCGTGATGTCGTCACAAGATGGCCGCCACAAAGATGGCCACATGCACAGAAAGGCGGGGCCAGGTGGCTGCTCCGCATGGTAAGGCCTACTTGGCACAGAGGAGGCCAGTCCCAGCGCCTCCGCCGCCTCACACGGTGGAGGCGGGTCCCAGCAGAGGAGGTGGGTTGCGGCAGAGGAGGGCAGTTCGGGGCGATCAGGCCAGCAGGGGAGGGCAGTTGGGGGCGATCAGGCCGGCAGGGGAGGGCCGTTGGGGGCGATCAGGCCAGCAGGGGAGCGGTTAGGGGGTGATCAGGCTAGCAGGCAGAAGCAGTTAGGGGCAATCAGGCAGGCAGGCAGGCAGGCAGGCAGGAGAGCAGTTAAGAGCCAGTGGTCCCGGATTGTGAGAGGGATCAGGCCTAAACCGGCAGTCAGACATCCCCCGAGGGGTCCCAAATTGGAGAGGGTGCAGGCCAGACTGAGGGACACCCCTCCCCATGCATGAATTTCATGCACCACGCCTCTAGTCTATATACATAAAAGCCAAGCGACTGGAATGACCAGAGCAACCAGTCACTATGACATGCACTGCGGCTGGCCAACCAGCCCGATATGGGCCCCAATCGGCACCCCCGCCCCCCACAGCCGGCCTGGCCCCTGATCGGCCCCCAACACCCTGATCAGGGTGGGGCCAGCCAGCCAACCACCTGCAGCCCCTCCCCCCAGCTGGCCCAGCCTGATGGGCCCCCATCGGGGCCGGCTGGCTGGACCCCACCCGTGCACAAATTCGTGCACTAGGAATCTAGTAGTTAATAATACTGCATAGTATATATGAGACTTGCTAAGAGAGTGGGTCCTAAGTGTTTTTATTCACATATACGAAATGTAACTATATGAGGAGGTGGATAATCACTTACACAATATACATATATTAAATCATCACATTGTGTACCTTATATATAATTTTTAAACTTTATTTTTATTGTTGACACTACTACAAATGTCCTCATTTCCCTCCACCTTTGCCCACCTCCACCCAGCCCTCACCCGCCCTCCCTCTGGCCATCACCACACTGTTGTCTGTGAAATATATACAATTTTTATTTGTCAACTATACCTCAATAAAGCTGGGGAAAGTTTAAAAATAAAAAATATAATAGAAGAAAAATTCCTATTTAAAATATCACACACACACGATTAGAAAATTTTGTATTACTACAGAACATAAAGAACTGACCAGCCCTGGCCGGTTTGGCTTGTTTTAGTCCTTACTGGAAACCGCCCTCTTGTCCAATGTGACTCCCTCTCAATATTTAGTGTCGGAAGCACAAGGAAGTAAAACTCATGGTCAAACTGGTATTTCTTCCCCTGTGCTTCCACCTCCTCTATGCCAGGAAGTTGCACTCAAGTTCTGTCAAGTGGTTGCCCAGCAGGACCCAGGAAGCCAGGCTTACACCTGATGACTGTGACTGTGGCAGTCACCCCGAGGACACTCATTGCACAGCATACGTGTATGATACAGGGGCACTCACGCCTACAGCGGCTTTTTCTTTACCATGACAAACGGTTCAACAACAGGTATGTAAAAATAAACATGGGGGAGGGAACATCTGTCTATTCTTTCCCACCCTCCATTTTGTCTATCATCAACACAAATCTAAAACCATTTGGTAAGCCCAAACCGGTTTGGCTCGGTGGATAGAGCGTCGGCCTGCTGACTCAAGGGCCCCCTGGTTCGATTCCGGTCAAGGGCATGTACCTGGGTTGTGGGCACATTCCCAGTTGGGAGTGTGCAGGAGGCAGCTGATTGATGTTTCTCTCTCATCGATGTTTCTAACTCTCTATCCCTCTCCCTTCCTCTCTGTAAAAGAACAATAAAATATATTTTTAAAATAAATAAATAAATAAAAATAAAACCATTTGGTAAATGTTAAGACAAGCATTAAATATGAACAGAGTCGAACCTGAAGGGGGAAATAAAGACAGGAAATGAAGGAGCAGGTGAGCAGCAACACAGATCCACAGATCCACAGATCTTCACAGACATTCACTCACCACGATGCTTACAAAATAATGGGTTTCTTTATAATGTCTGCAAGCTCTTAGAGTTTTAACCCGGCTGAGCTAGGCAGTAAACTTTAAAAAAAAAAAAACCTAAAGATTTAAAAATATTAACATGTATTACTTATATAATAAACTAGAGGCCCAGTGCATGAATTCGTGCACGGGTGGGGTCCTCGGCCTGGCCAGCTATCAGGGTCGGCCAGCTACCAGGGCCAGCCAGCCGGGGGAGGGACCACGGGAGGTTGGCTGGCCGGGGGAGGTTGACTGTGGGAGTGCACTGACCACCAGGGGGCAGCTCCTGCCTGAGCGTCTGCCCCCTGGTGGTCAGTGCATGTCATATTGACGGGTCAACCGGTCGTTTGGTCAACCAGTCATAAAGGTCACTTAGGCCAGTATACAGATAATTTTATATTGCTGTACATTAACTTACAAAAATGCAAAAGAGAGTCTTAAAGTCATAACTTTCAACATGACCTGAAACACAAACCACACTAACTGAAACTGAGTCAGTGTGAACTGCAGCCACTAGCCACAGCGCATCTGAACGAACAGAACCAAACCACTTCTTCTCATCTACTCTCCCTTCAGCAGTGCTGAAGAGCAGACCACACAATGGAAAAACCAAACGTTACACAAAGAAATGATACAAGCTGGAACACAAAAAGGGAAAAACAGGTGACAGCATTTATCATTTTTAGAGTCTAGGACAAGAAATTTAAAATACAAAATTGCTACAACATTCTGCAAGTATATACAGGTAGATTCAAAGGCATGATTTATAGCTTGACTCAGCTTATAAGCTACTATATGGTGCAAGCTCCATTTAAAAGCAGAAAATATGGGCCCACAGTAGGCTTCCCATCTGGAGTGGGCAGACCTGACTGAGCACTAATTATTACCACTGCAAAGGGACAAGAGTTCTATGACAGCCACATCAATCCCTGGCCGGTGGCCAAGTGGTTAGATTACCGGCCCCATGCACCAAAGGGTCATGGGTTCAATTCCCAGTCAAGGGCATGTACTTGGGTTGTAGGTTCAACACCTGGCCCCGGCTGGGGCACATGCAGGAGGCAACCGATCAATGTATCTCTCTCCCGTAGATGTTTCTCTTCCCCCTCCCGACTCCCTCCCTTCCACTCTCTCTAAAAATCAATGGGAAAAAATATTCTCGAGTGAGGATTAACAACAAAACAAAAACTCCACATCGAGATGAACATTCATCAAGGAGGTATTTTCCAGGCCATTCCAAGAAACAGAATCACAAGCACCAATAACCACCTATGCTGGGAAAGAACGGCCTGACCACACTCACCGTTTTCCACATAGGGATGGAAGGGCAAGACCAGGGCAAGGATGACCCTGCCTCTAGTTGGCTCCAAGACACTTCTGATATCTTTTAACAAAGTCAGGGGCTGATCACAGCGGTCCAGCAAATTCAAGCAGCTGATGACATCATACTGGAACCCTGTATTCTGCCATTCATTTATACCGAGCACTCTGGAAAAATCAGAAAGAACTGGATTGATACAAAACTCCCTTACAGACACCTTTAAAAATAATTGAGATGCCAGTAAAGGCTCTAACTTTGTCTTCTAATTCAAAGTGAATTCAAAATCTTCATTTATAACCTATATATGCAGAAATAAAAGGGCCAGGGCAAGAGAAAAATAGCTACCGTATTTTTTTTTAATTTAGCATTTCACCTATTTCCAAATCTCAAAACATATAACATTTTCTTTTCAAGAGCTAATCATATATTTAATAAGTATGACAATACGATGATAAAAATGATTATAAAACTAAAGCACCAAATCCTTGAACATCAGTTAATGAAGGAAGAGTCCTACTTTCTACATTCACTGGTATTTAATCATAAAATACATATTTATGGTTTCTATTCCTAGTGTCCCTATTTTTAAAAAAAAATGTTTTTTTATTGTTGATAGTATTACAGATGTCTCCCATTCCCCCCTTATCCCTTCGTCCCAGTTATTACCCCACCCAGGTCTTCACCCCCTCCTAATTTTAAGAAAGGCTGGGGGTGGTACAGATAATTCCCATTTTCAACCTATGACCTATTGAGCATATCTGTTCCCAGAAGAGAGATACTATGTCATACTTTAAGATTTTCACATCTAAATACCTTTACAGAAGAGAAAGCACAGGACAACCCATTAAAGCCGTGACTCACGCAGAGCACAGTCCGCACACTACCCCAGCCCTCAATCTCTCCCTCTGCCCTGTCCTCTTTTTCTCAAACAACACTCCTAGTGCTTTACAATGTTTATTCATCGAAACGGGGAGATCTTATATCAAGAGTCTTTTTCAGCCACACCATCACGGCATTTTATATCTTCTTCACTCCTACTTGGTTATAGCAATCAGAATGTGGTAGGCGCTGCCTGTTAGAAGAGACGGGAAAAGGATCCCCAGCCCTCGCCGGGTGGCTCAGTTGGTTGGAGCGTCGTCCCATACACCAAAGGTTGCAGGTTCAACTCCGGGTCAGGGCACATACATAGGTCCAATCCCCCCTGTTGGAGCATGTGCGGAGGCAACCAATCGATGTTTCTCTCTCAGTCTTTCTCTAAGGATCAATGAACATGGCCACAGGTGAGGATTTAAGAAAAAGGAGTCTGGTAAACAAGTCTTTCATAATGCTGAGTAGATATAGCAGAGATAACCTAGAAAATTCTAAACATATCTTGAGGGCTGCTTGGCGAAAACTCACTTTGCTTCCCACACTCACTTTCAAAACACAGATTTTTTTAAAAATGGGCAGAGAGTCAGATTAGGAATTCAGCATGACTTAAGCTACTGTTATAACAAAGGTCAGACATTTTGAAATGGTAAATTAATTTCTAACTAAAGGAATATGGTTTAATTAATAGACCCAGGAGGATTTATCGGAGACAGATAGCTGGAGCTAAGGGAGGTCTTACAAGTCAGTCCTGTGACATCCCTACGGAGGATGACAAGGACTTGGATGCTGGAGCTGGGAGGAAGGTCAATCTCCCTGACCTCTAATTCAACTTCTAAGGCCCAGTTGTGCCAGATCATACACACACGTGCTCCCCCCTTCCATGAAAAATCCCATTAGATATCTGTTTGCAGTAACTTCCCTTCCACCCTTTCCTATGTGGTCTCCTAGGCTAAACATCTCTGTGTTTTGCCAGTGTTCTAAGAGCTTGTTTTGTCTTGCTCCAGGAGCTACGCTGACACACTGTATAAGCAAAAACTTAGGTGGATAGAAAAGTGAGTATGTAATTCTTTCTCCTTTCTAAGGCGAAGCCCAGCTTCTCTTAGGTTCCCCCCACTTCGCACCTCCCAATTCTAAACTCAGCCCCCTTTTCTCCCACTCAACAGAACCCATACTGAGCAAAGAAGAGCCTTCTTCCTAAGTCTCTCAAGCAATGGATGGTCTGAAAACCAAGATTTGACACTTCATATTCATTAGGATAGCTATTGAAAGAGGGAAGGGGAGGAGAGGGGAGGGGAAAGAGGGGGGAGGAGGGTGGGGGGAGGGAGGGGGAGGAAGGAAGGGAAAGAAAGAAAATAAGTATTGGCGAAGATGTAGAGAAACTGAAACTCTTGTACACTGCTATAAAATGGTGTAGCTGCTATGGGAAAAATTTCCTTAGAAAGTTAAACAGCAGCCGGTGTTGCTCAGTAGTTGAGCATTGACCGATGAACCAGGAGATCAGGGTTTGATTCCCAGTCAGGGCACATGTTGGGGTTGCAGGCTCAATCCCAGGTTGGTTGGGGCGCATGCAGGAGGCAACTGATCGATGTTTCTCTCTTACATGGATGTTTTTTTCTCTCTCTCTCTCCCTCCCTCCCTTCCTCTCCCTTCCTCTCTGTAAAAATCAGTAAAAACATGTCTTTCTTAAAAAAGTTAAACACAGAATTACCATATGACCCAACAATTCCACTGGGTATATACACAAAGGAAGTGAAAGCAGGGACTCTAACAGGTATGTGTACACCCAGGTTCACAGCAGCATTACTCACAACAGCTAAAAGGCAGGAACAGCCAAGTGGCCATGATAGATGAAGGGATGCAAAAGGAGAGATTTCTGACACCCGCTACAACATGGATGAACTCTGAAGGTACTATTTTAAGTGAAATAAGCCAGTCACAAAAGAACAAATATGGTAGGATTCCTTTTATTTGAGGTACCTAGAATAGTCAAATTTCTAGAGACAGAAAGTAGAATAGCAGTTGCCAAGAGATGGGGAGAAGGAGTGGGGACTTAAGTGTTTAATGGGCATGAGCCAGCTTGAGAAAATGAAAAGTTCTGGATGGTTACACAACAATGTGAATGTGCTTAACACCACTGAACTATACACTCAGGAATGAATAGAACAGTAAATTCTATGTTATATATTTTTACAATAAATTTTTTTTTCACTAAAATATTTCAGAATGCCAGATTCTAACCAGGGAATGAGCCCCTACATCTGATCTCTCTCCAGACTGGCTCCGACCTGCTCTCTCCCGCCCAGTAGTCCCAACTCTGCCAAGGAAAGAGGACTTGTCTCTCAATCCACTTCACTGTAATGTGCAAAGTTGTTCTTTTTAGTTCCTAATCATGGAAAATTGTTTCTGATTCATATCCTTTAAATAATACGCTGTCAAGAAGAAATACACCTAAAATCAAGAAAACTAGCCCAAATCATGTCTAAAAGTTATACCTGTATTTCTTCTTCTGAAGCTGCCATATCATCGTTTCAGACAGCTCAGTGGCATAAATTTCTTCAAAATGCGGGCTCATGATTTTTGTGACTTCTCCATCTCCAGCACCTAGGTCGAGAAGTCTATGGGTTTTCCAGTCAGGGTTAATTCTAAGCAGTCTCTGAAACTGATCTGGGGAAAACACAAACATCGAGCCTCTTCCGAGCAACCTGGAAAAGAAAGGACAGCATGGAAGAGTCAACACGAGGTAAGCACTGCCCATACACATACACACACAGAGCGGCCGTGGGGACTCAGCACCAACAGCTCTTTGAACTTACAAAATGTTTAGTTTTATATGATTATGTGATTAAAACATGTGTAATATTTTATATGATTTATGTCATGGTTAAAAAGCAATGTTAGTAAAATAAGGAAATACCTCCAGGTAGCATCATTTGTCTTTGAGGCTGCAAATAACAACCCAAAAGGAGTGGGGCAAGGAGAGGAATAAAAGATGAAAGGGAGGCCCTAGCTGGTTTGGCTCAGTGGATAGAGAATCCGCCTGCAGACTGAAGGGTCCCAGGTTCAATTCCGGTCAAGGGCACATGCCTGGGTTGCGGGCTCGATCCCCAGTAGGGGGCATGCAAGAGGCAGCCAATCAATGATTCTCTCATCATTGATGTTTTATCTCTCTCTCCCTCTCGCTTCCTCTCTAAAATCAATAAAAATATGTTTAAAAAAAAAAAAGGTGGAAAGGGAAAAGAATGAGAGGGGAAGGAAAGAGAAAAATGACTAAGGAAAGATGAATGTGAAAAATTTATGTCAAAATAGGAAAGCGATGGAAGGAGCAACCATAAACATGTTTATCAGGTTAAAAAGATGGCAGACCAACAGAAACAGGCCACAGCACTAGCCAACAATACTAAGCAGAAACACCAAATATGAAAAAGAAGCCTTTATGAAACTAAAATAGTAAGAAAAAATAGTTGTAGTATGATTTATTTTTAAGACAAAAGAGAAAAAGAGTGGTCCTTGTGCTATCAGTTAATTTGCATTAAGAAAGTAGATTCATACTCGTGTCAATTTATATACAATTGGTGGGGCCTATTATTTCTAAGGATCCTAAAGAAACACTCAAAATCACAGGAATGCCTTTGGAAAGTAGACTGAGGCGTTAAGGGGAAACGAATCCTGGAAAAGAAGGCACAGCTCACGCCAGGCCTCCTAGAAGCCTCGTGGAAATAACTCCAATCAGAACCGGTTTTCTGGCTCTCAAATCATGGCTGGTCTAGCGCAGGGACCTCACACTTTACATGAAGTGGAACCCATAGACAGTGCACAACGATCCGGGAGCCAGCTGGAGCGCGATCTGGGCACCCCAAGGGCCTTTCTGTACAGTCAACAGCTCCGGAGCCACTTCCGCCTCGGCCCTGGGAGCCAGTCTGAAAGCCACAGGGCTAAGAGACAGCAGGAACTCTGCCCTGCACTGGCACTTTCTGGAAATGCCATGAGGCACAATACATTTGTTATACGTACAGGGACCGGAAAGATGCAGGCAACTTGGTACTTCTGGTAAGACCAGTTTCAGGAAAAAAATATTACCTGTGGAGTGCATATAACAAACTCCCCCTCCTATTTTCCTACTAAAGCCATAGGAGAGTTTAACCAAATCTAATATTGTTTGACCAATAAATCTCCCGCCCCACAGAAATGTTAAAAAATGAGGTGGGGGGTCAGAGAGGAAACACGGTGCGGCTCACAAAAACTGCTGACTAGAGAAAACAGTATCCTGGAAAGACAGTTGTTTTTAAATTTAAAGTTTAATTTTATTTTTCCATTGACATTGAGAGTGAGAGAAAGAGATGTAAGAGAGAAACATTGACCAGTTGCCTCCTCTAGATGACCAGACCAGGGAATCAAACCCACAAACTAGGAATGTGCCCTGTCCGGGAATAGAACCTTTTGGTGTATGGGACAATACTCCAACCAAATGAGCCACCCAGCCAGAGCAAGACAAGTTGTTTTTACTATTTTTTCTTTCTTTCTTTTTTCTTAATCTTTATTACTGAAAGTATTACATAGGTCCCTCTTTTTCCCCCATTAACCTCTCCCAGCCCACTCGTCTGCCCCCAAACCATCACTATCCCATTATCTGTGTCCACGGGTTAAGCATATACACATACAAGTTCACTGGTTGATCTCTTCCCAACCACCCTCCCCTACCATCCCTCTGAGGTTCAACAGTCTGTTCATGCTTCTAGAGTTCCCTTTTATCCACAACCTCGCCAATACTGGTAGTTTGTTGATGGTAACCATTCTGACAAGTGTTAGGTGATAGCTCATTGTCATTTTGATTTGCATCTCTGGGATGATTAGTGACTTGGAGCATTTTTTCATATGTCTCTTGGCTTTCTGCATTCCACTTTGAAGAAGTATCTATTTAGGTCCTTTGCCCATTTTTTAACTGGATTGTTTATCTTCCTTTTGTTCAGTGGTATGAGTTCCCTATATATTTTGGAGAGTAACTCCTTATCGGATGTATCATTGGCAAATATGTTCTCCTATGCAGTGGCCTCTCTTGTTATTTTGTTAGTGATGTCCATGTGATTTTTTTTTTAAGTGTTGAATACGCATTCTAGGTTCTCTGGTCACAATCTAAGTCCCCTCTAGACTCCAGAATCTGCAGAGGAGGTGTGCCTCCTTATAAACATCTTCCTTATAAAATCAACACCAACACAGCCACCAAGTCTCTCCTTACCTGGCCTTCCCCTTCCATTACAAAGGAAGGCTGATAAGCATCTCATCTTAATTCAAGAAGGTGCCATAGTAATTGTTTCTGAGAGAGATACCCACTCAAAGTAACCATCTAGCACTACAACGGATGGAAGTACCAAGGGACTAAAAGTAAGCTTTCAGCTGAGAATAAGAACACAGGGCAAGAGTGGTTTTTGTTTTGAGTAGGGTGGGGATGAGGGTTAAGAAGAAGGCTAAGAGCTGTAAATAAGGGAAGCCAAAAAGGACTTATTAACTGCACTCCCTCACTTTGACCAAACCGTGAAGTTCCACATGCAGGGAATTTTAAGCAGAGTCCAGTGGGGTAGAAGTAGGGGGAAGCAGCTCAGAGTTTTAAATTTCCCCAAATTACATGCAAAATGTTGAATTTAAGGACAATGAAAAGAGGATTCCTACCTTTTATAGCTTTCAAAGAGGTACAGGGCCCCAAAAAGGTTAAAAATCACTGCTATAGTGACTTATCTGCTTTCCAATGAAAAGATAAATGGAATAGAACAGAAATTCAATGAAGCCAATTTGAGAAGCAAAATGTCAGACCGCGTTGTAGAAATTCAACTACCAATACAAAAATAACAACTGTTTGCTGAAGCAAACTTAGCCAATTGCACATAAGCGATGAAGAAAACCAAGTAAGAAATCTTGAGAAATGACTCAAGGTGCCTAAAAACATATTAAAGGACCAGATGATAGACTGGGGATGCAGACATTCAGTAGAAGCTGGCTCCAAACCTCAGTGGGGAAAAAACAACCATAAAAAACCAGTGGCTTTAAATGGTCCCACAGGCTTTTCTCCTTGGCATTCTGGATTCTTGGGCGTTGGGATGTTTGAAAATGTGGCCAAGAAAGGATAAAAAACATTCCTAAGCTTTTTCCATAAATTTAAATGACAGAACCACTCTAGGAATAGAGAATTCCATAATAAGTTTACAAAAGTCGGCTGAGCCTAGACGTTACGTAAGAACAGATACAGGACCGTTCACTTGAAAGAAGCCATCACCCATGGGTTGGGGTAAATCAGATGACCCCAAAAACTTGCTCCTGGGACATGTGCTTGAGGCCAAGATCTGACTCCTCAGCCCTTCCATGGCAAGGGGTTGGGGTCAAGTATTGTGCTACCCCCGCTTCATCAGCAGCAACAACATCACCCATTAGAAATGCAGAATCTCAGGCCCCACCCAAGACCTACTGATTCGATTTTGCATTTTAACCAGATCCCAGGTGATTCCTGCGCACATCAAAGTTGGGAACCACTGCTCTCAGTACTTCCCAGTGGAGAAACGCAGACGAAGACAAATGAGACTGTCTATCAAGTTGTGGTGAACTTGAAAAACAAGGTTGAGACACTGGATCTAGTGCCAAGGATTTTGACTCACTGCTGAGGTGGTCAACAACCTGAACAAGATCTCTTTTCCTTTTCTTTTTCTTAAACATAAGGGTAAAGAAAAAAATCCAAGAGTCACTTACCCATTGATAGATGTTCTAGACATAAACAGACTAAAAACAGAGGACACAAAGGAGTGGTACAGCTGGATAAACAGCCAGCCCGATTTCTCAATGCTGTTGTTTAAGAAGATCTGTGTTCCTTGATCGAGGTAACTCTGAACAAACAGAGCCTGGAGTGATTCGCACAATTTCTCTCTGTTGCACTCGTACCACTAAAAAAAAAAAGAAGAAGAAGAAAATGAAAACACACAACTGTACCTTCTGGACTCTGAGATTAGGGAAAACTCCGCTGGCCTCTCCTGCACTGGGATGCAGCGCAGAAGCCATAACCAGCTCTGTGAGCCTTGTTCTCAGGTAAGAGAGCAGTCACCTGAAGCAATGATTTAACTCATTTAACTCAAAACCACCAACAAATCAATGGCAGAATAAGCAGCAACATTTAACCCTCTAGAGACCAGATTATGCTGCCTTTTCTTCCTGTGGGCTACATACACTCCACTAAAATACTGAGTGTGCTTTATCAGATCATAAGACATTCTTACAGACAGGGCAAGATGTGCTTGAGAAAGATTATGAACTTACTCAAGGCCACACACACTGTGATCAATAAGAAGACAAAGTAATCACGTGCTAAGAATCAGATTTCCAGGAATATACTTTTCAGAACAAAATTCAAGAATTTTAACTGTGTCTGAAATTTAATCTTCCACAATAAGTGTTTCCATTTGCATTTAGCAGTCGTGAACCAGAGAAGGGGGAACAGACAGGCTCTGCCATTCTTTTCTTTTTTTTTTAATTGATTTCAAGGGCAAGAAGGGAAAGTGAGAGAGGGAGGGAGGGAGAAACATCAATGTGAGAGCAAAACATTGATTGCCTGCTGCCTTCTACATGCCCCTTACCAGGGATCGAGCCTCTACTGGGAACCCAAATAGGCAACCACAGGACAATGCCCAACCAACACTGGCCATGGCTGGCTCTGCCATTTTTGTATGATCTCAGACAACTCACTTAATCTCTGAGCCTCTATTCATTCATCTGCAGACTAGAAATGTTACTAGTATCTGTCCTCATGCTGAGGGGATTAAATAAGGTAATGCAGACAAAACCTCAGTGTAGGACTAGACACACAGGAGAATTCTGAATAATAATAGCAATGAGATTCCTCTAATGGCCTGATAAGTAACAGTAAGCCCATTAAGTACAATGACACAACCCATTACTATTAATCCATTATGTGCTAAAAAAGATAATCCATTGTTTCCCAATAAGGAGCCAAAAATAATGTATTTCCCCTAACAAATAAGACTATTTACCAGCTGTAGATGTTCCATAACTGCTTGCACAGTTGGTGGACCAATTTTATAGTTATCCTAATCTTGCTAAATATTGAAGGAACTCTTGGGTAGGTATAAACCAATACAAACAAGCAAATAGGCACAAAAGTTTCAAAGACTACCTAATCTTTTTACAAATCCTGTACCCTGAACTGGATAATCCAAATCTTTCCAACTGTTGACTGATTTGTGTTAATTTACCACTTACACACTGTTATCAAGACTGCTTGCACTTGAAGATGAGTTTTGTTTTTACCAATCTATATGACAAGCTCTGAAGCTACTTACATTCACTTTTTTCCTTGGTCTAAAATGTTCATCCTTAATCACTAACTAGTTCTTAATATTCACTGTGCCTTAAGGGATGCCCAGTGCAGGTCATAAACTGTTTTCTTTTATCCTCATGGCCTCCTGATGCACATTCTGAACTCTGTAACACTAATGCCACTCTGACATTTATTTATTTACTAGAGGCCCAGTGCACAGAATTTGTGTACGGGTGGGGTGGGAGGGGGTCTCTTCAGCCCAGCGTGCACCCTCTCCAATCCAGGACCCCTTGGGGGATGTCCAACTCGGGCCTAAACCAGCAATCGGACATCCCTCTCGCAATCCAGGACGGCTGTCTCCTAACCGCTCACCTGCCTGCCTGCCTGATCACACCTAACCACTCTGCCTGCCTGCCTAATGCCCCTAACTGTTCCCCTGCCTGCCTGATCACCCCTAACTGTCCTCCCCTGCCGGCCTGGTCATTCCTAACTGCCCTCCCCTGCCGGCCTGGTCGCCTCTAACTGCCCTCCCCTACCAGCCTAATTGCCCCTAACTGCTCTCCCCTGCTGGCCTGATCACCCCTAACTGCCTCTGCCTTGGCCCTGCCACCATGGCTCTGTCCAGAAGGATGTCCAGAAGGCTGTCCGGAAGATGTCCAGTCTAATTAGCATATTACCCTTTTATTAGTATAGATTGTTCTCTGAAATGACTAATCAAGATGAAAGCCATCTCCTTGGTAATAGGCAATCAGGTACATTCTATTAATGTTGACAAGAAGTCCTTCAGATAAAACTGTAGGACTAAGATTACCATTTCTTGCATCCACTTATAAATGGAAACCTAGAACAATAGACTCTGACTTCCAGAACTAAGCAAGAAGTAGCACTATTAACTGCAAATGCCAAAAGGAAAACTCCTTTTAACAATTCTCAATTCATCAACGTTAGCACATATGGCTAAACCTTTACTGCTACATGCATCTTTCAGAAAAGAAACTGCTTACTGAACAAAATGTGCTGCAGAAGGAGTAAAGCTCTCTCTTTAAAGACGAGGGTTGAAGTGTTTGTCCCTCCAGACCCTTTGCAGCATTCTCACGCTCACCAATTAATGATCCACAAGTTGTGATTCACCCATACAAGAACATACACACACACACACACACACACACACACACACACACACTAGAGGCCTGGAAGGGGGTCCCTCAGCCCAGCCTGCACCCTCTCCAATCCAGGACTCCTCGGGGGATGTCCGATTGCTGGTTTAGACCTGATCCCACAGACATCCCTCTTGCAATCCAGGACCGCTGGCTCCTAAACACTCACCTGCCTGCCTGCCTGATGTCCCTAACAGCTCCCCTGCCTGCTTGATCGCCCCTAACCGCCTCTCCCTGCCAGCCTGGTCGCCCCCAACTGCCCTCCCCTGTAGGCCTGGTTGCCCCAACTGTCCTCCCCGGCTGGCCTGGTCACCCCCAACTGCCCATCTGCACCAGCCTCATGAGGAGGCGCCCCGCCTCCCATCTTCGTCTCAAGAGCCACTGCTCAGGGGCCAGGGGGAGGGCCCGAGAGGTGCTCCAGCACCTCCTGCTGATCGGTCGTTACAGCGTGAGGGCATGATGACCATTTACATATTAGCCTTTTATTATTATAGATATAGAATTCAACCATAACAAGAAAGGAAATACCAATTCATACAACATGGATGAACTTCGAAAACATTACGCTAAGTAAAATAATCCAGTCACAATAATCCAGTCACAGAAGTTATATGATTTCATTTACTGGAATTATCAGGAATAGGCAAATCCCAAGACAGAAAGTAGATTGTATCACATGATCTCACTCATATGTGGAATCTAATGAATAAAATAAACTCATGAACAAAATAGATCCAGAGACATATAAGCATGGAACAGGCTCTTGAATCTCAGAGGGAAGGCGGGGATAGGAGCGTGGGGGAAAGGGATAAACCTAAGAACTTGTATGCATAATGCATAACCCATGGACATACAATAGGGTGGTGAAAGCCTGAAGTGGGCTAGAACTAGTCAAAGGGGATAAATGTAATACTTTCAACAACAAAGATTAAAAAGAAAATAGATTGTGAGTGCCAACGGCTGGGGGAGGGGCCGTGGGGAGTGCCTGCTAATGGGCAGGGGGCTTCTTTTTGGAGCGATGGAAATATTCTGACATTAGAGAGTGGTGACGGCTGCACAACATCATGAATGTACAGCACTAAAAAGCACATAATTGTATATTTTAAAAGGATGGATCTTATGGTATATGAAGTATATCTCAATAAAGCTGTTATTAAAAATACACATATAGCCCAGTTAGGTTTGCCTCAGTGGATAGAGCATCAGCCTGTGGACTGAAGGGTCCCAGGTTTGATTCCAGTGAAGGGCATGTACCTTGGTTGCGGGCACATCCCCAGGAGGGGGTGTGCAGGAGGCAGCTGATCAATGTTTCTCTCTCATCAATGCTTCTCTCTCATCGATGTTTCTAACTCCCTATCCCTCTCCCTTCCTCTCTGTAAAAAATCAATAAAATATATTCTTTAAAAAATACACATATAGACATCTAGATTTTTATTTCCAGAAATTAAAAGCATTTTGAAATTTGAAGTGATCAAGCAAACTTCTTTAAAAATGCAAAATTTTGATCCAAATCTGATGATGTCACTTCCCAGAAGTCTTGGGATAAATCAAAAAGCTCAATCTGGCTTAGGAAACTCTACATGGTAAATCCATTCTGCCACAGCCTCCCCTCAGGACAGTCCCTATCACCCCATTGACACCTGGGAGGCTCCTCTCCCTGCTGTCTCACAGGGCATCTGCTCTGATCCCTACTTTTTTCACAACCCCTACTCCCTCCCACTTCACCTGGTTTATTCGACTCATGCCTAAATATTTCTTCAACCACGTTTCCTTTGAACTTCTATACTAGGTTGGGAACCCCATTCTAACACCCTCTCCTCAGTAACATGACCACTGAACTAAAAAACTACATACTTGCATGCTCAGTGTCAACCATCCCAGGTAGACAGAAAGTTTCATAAAATCGGGACAATGAATGACTTCAGTGCCTGGCAGAGATACAGATGAATCATGAATATCCATCACATGAATTACTGTTCAAAATCACAGGCAGTCCAACAGATAGAAAGTGGACTTTCTAGCAAAATCCTGGAGGGAACCTAAAGACCAGCAGCTGTCGCTGGGCTTCTGTCGACTCCTAAAGCTCCAAGGGTTTTGCAAGGCCTTGCTTAAACCCAGTTCTGCAAGGACACTGGCTGAGCATCTACCTTGTACCAGGCACCCAGCCAAGCACCTCACATTTCACTCTCCACCTCCTGGCTTCTGTGTGGGGCAGCTGGGCCTGAGCAGCTCCCACTGGCTCACGTTCCTGGTCAAGGTGCATGCTTTATAAGGAGTTTCTTTCACAGAAGCTTCCCTTCACCTCCACCCAGTTTGTCTGCTTGAGACTCACTTTCAGAGAAGAAAAGCAGGACTATTCGGCCTAATTAAATTGGACTGGATGAGCTTAGAGAAGAAGTAGTCTCATCTACACAGCAACTAAGTTATTACAGGACAGGGTTTCCCAACTCAACAC